TGTCGTCGAAAATTGCGATAAAATCATGGAAATAGTGGAAACAGACCGTCAGGTCTGTGAGGAACTAAAGATAAGCCAGAAAACCGTTTGGAATCATTTGAATAATCTAAACTAATTCGAGTATAAGAAAATCAGAGTCATTCACAAAAACTATTATTGTAGAAGGCAAACCTTAGATGTCTTTCCATAATACGATTCATTGTACGAAATAAAAGTTTGGAATTTTAGTATGGAGTTTAGTTATGGTTCATTTTAGGTATTTGATTAACGACATTTTGTGGGCGTGGCAATAGTCGAATATCGCCATATGCATTACCATTGTTAGGTCTGAGACTGAGGGAATCCTCTTTACTAGTCGCCAGTAACAAGAAACATTCTATGATACTTAGGAACTTTCCGTTTCTTCCCATAACAACGAATTTTTGAAATCGTACAGAGCTGAATCTAAATCCGTTCTCCAATATTTCCTTCCCTTCGAGAAAAGAGTGGAAAGGGGCGAGGTGCACAAAACCGTAGGGATAAGCATTTATACGGATGGTACCAAACTAGATAACCGAGTGGGTGGTGGTGTCTTCTAAGATAAACTCAATAGACACCAAAATCGTCTTCCAGACCACTGCAGTGTCTCCCTTCACATATAAAACTTGTCATACTGATGATGTTCATCATCAGAAGTACGGAGTGGTTCTGAGAGGAATCAATAAAGGGCATCCTAAAGGCCTAGATGTGTCGTAAGACAGCCACAAGTTTTATTGGTGCGTAAAGTTCTGACAACTGTTAGTTTATGATCTTTTAATAAATGATAAGCGCTCTTGTAACTTGTAAAAAAATTATCCATAGTAATATTTCGTGAAGTTTGTGAAACACATTGTACCAGTCAATCAATTACGTCGTAGAGTTTATTACTAATACCATAAGCCCAATCTCACCCTAAAGATATTTTTATATTTTTGGTGTAATAGGTGTCATTGTCCACCAAAGCATAGATTTTTATGCCGTACTTTGCTGGTTTGTATGGTAGATATTGGTGGAGACCCCCACAGACACATTGTGTCTAGAAACACATTCATTCCTGTACCGTCTATGGCCCATTAGTCAATTGTGTTTTGACGAATAGAACGCGCTAAACCAGGTAGAAAAAGGAAGTCAAATAGTGTCTTCATTTCTACCAGTGTTGTTCCTGATTTTTGTGGAAATAGCACTGAATAGGTGACTTCTTGCCTCTTACAATTGTACTTACGCCAGGTAGATAATTAATAATATTAGGGAAAGTAAAAAGTTCGTTCGGTCTTTATCTAAGAGATGGCGTTATTGTCCATAGTACTAGTGTTACGTGTCGCATCATGTCATACTATACGGCGCTGAAAACGTGTTTATTCGAGCTAAAAGTTTGTCCTTGATAGTTTTTCGATTGATTGACCCAGTACGTTTTGAGCGCTCGTCAAAGATGAACAGCAGCAAAGAGAAAATTCGCTATATTTTACAATTTTTCTTCGATCAAGGCGAAAAAACAGCCAAAGCGGCTGAAAACATTAATTTAGTTTATGGGCCCGATACTGTAAACGAACGTGTAGCACAAAAGTGGTTTGCTAGGTTCCGTTCCGGTAATTTCGATGTCAAAGATGCACCACGCGTCGGGAGGCCTGTCGTCGAAAATTGCGATAAAAACATGAAAATAGTGGCAACAGACCGTCACGTGAGCACTTATTTAATTGCTGAGGAACTAAGGATACGCCAGAAAACCGTTTGGAACCATTTGCATAACCTTGGATTCAAAAAGAAGCTCGATGTTTGGGTGCCACACGAACTAACGCAAAAAAACATGATGGGCGGAATTTCCATCTGCGAATCGCTGCTGATTCGCAACAAAATCGACCCGTTTCACCCGGCCTAGACAGTGGCCGGATTGACGGCCAGGAAGGTTTTGCTGTGTGTTTGGTGGGATTGGCAAGGAATCATCTACTATACTATATGGCCAAACGCTCAATTCGGTCCTCTACTGCTAACAACTGGACCGCTTGAAGGCAGCACTCATCCAGGAGAAGCCATCTTTGATCAACAGAGGCCGAATTGTGTTCCATCAGGACAACGCCAGGCCACACACGTCTTTGGTGACTCGCCAGAAGCTCCTGGAGCTCGGATGGGAGGTTCCAATGCACCCACCTTATAGTCCGGACCTAGCACCAAGTGATTACCATCTTTTCCTGTCCATGGCGAACGCGCTTAATGATGAGAAGTTGGCTTCAAGAGAGGCCTGTGAAAATTGGCTCTCCTAGCTTTTTGGCAATATGGACGCAATCTTCTACGAGAGTGCTATAGTGAAGTTGGCATCTCGTTGGCAACAAGTTTACGAACAAAACGGCGCATATTTGACTTAAATCGGACAAATGTACACAAAGTTATCATCTTTTGAAAAATCAATAAAAAACCGAACGAACTTTTTACTTTACCTAATATATATATTGATCATAAAGAATAAATTCATGTTTGATGAAGCTTCTTTTGCAGTGGGAAGATTATAACGGGTGATTCAAGTAGAGGTACTTTTTTCAATAGCCTCTTTCTGACGGATAAATTGTTAGTCGTGTCAAGCTGTCATGTTATTTTTGTTTCGCGCACTTCGCTCAACTTATGGTCAACATAATCGGCCTACTACGCGTACTATTCGCAACACCATCACCCATCTTGAGACCCTACATTTATTATTAGATACTATTCGACCGAATAGACCACGTCCAGTACGCAGTAAAGAAAATATAGCGGCCGCAGCTGAGAGTGTACACGGCTCCTTTTAGGTCGATATCTTGAATTGGAGGCATACAAAATACAGCTTGTGCAAGAACTGAATACGCTCGACCTTCCTTAGCGTTCCAAGTTCCAAGAAGATACCACGATTTCGAGCCAAATTATGTTCAGGGATGAGGCCCATTTCTGGCTAAATGGGTATTTAAGCAAGTCAAATTGCCGCATTTGGAACAAAGAGCAACCCGAAGAGGTTCAAGAGCTGTCATTTCATATTGAGAAATAACAACGGTTTGGTGTGGTTTGTGGGCCGGTGGAATCATCGGTCCTTATTTCTTCAAAAATGATTCCGCTGAAAACGTAACCATCAATGGCGACAATTATAGCGCCATAATAATTGATGATTGAAATTTAAGCTGGTGATCTCGGCGACATTTGGTTTCAATAAAACGGCGCCACTTCCCACATATCGCATCAATCAATGAATTTATTGAGAGAACAATTCGGGGAGCAGATAGTTTTACATTTTGGGCTGATCGATTGGCCCCCATGATCGTCTGATATCGCACCGTTAGACTTTTTCCTGTGTGAATGTAGAAATTGTAAAGTCCGCTTCGATTGAGGCTTTGGGGCAAAACATCAAGCGTGTAACCAGCCAGTTACCAACCGAAATGCTCGAACGAGTCATCGAAAATTGGACTCAACGGATGGATTACCTGAAATGTAGTTGCGGCTAACATCTGAACGAGATAGTCTAATGCCAAATAATGTTCTTTCGAATGATAATAAATATTCGCCATTAAATTTGAACTTTCTGTAATTTTTCACTCAGCTTCACTTTCACTTGAAGAAGTTCCTTGGGAGATGTGTTTTACTTCCTACCTGTTCATGTATATCTATCAAACTTCCATTATTCAGAACTTCTTGCGGTGGACATTCCAGGAAATCGTGGCAAAGAAATCCAGCATGTTGAAAGCATTTTCTTATTACAAGAGGATCTAGTTCGTCCCAGGAAGGAACCAACCATCGAATAGCATCGAAAACAGAAATAATTTTCGACAAATCACTTGAATTGTTGCATTCATCAAGGTGTGTTATCAGAGAAAGCATAATTTTTTATCTATACTTTGTTTTTACATTGTGAATAATTCCTTGGTCGAGAGGTTGTATTTCTGCAGTTAGGTTTGGTGGCGGAAACACATTTGAATATTCATTAATTAAATTAATGATAAAATAGTTTTTCTATTTTGCTTCTTTATTTGATCATTGATAGAACTAAGCCATAACTGAAATATTACAGTTGTCATTCAAGCCTTTCTATTGTGAGCCCATTGTACAATAAAAATTTTAGTGTCGACTTTATTTCGATGAAAGGTTCGCCACTTCGCAACGTTATCTATAACCAGCGGCATTAAATTTTCTCCTGGTAGTTTTTCTTTCCAATCTGAGGTCCACATTTGATCCTTCACCACTTAAAGCTTTAAATTGAATGTTATGTCTCAAGTCTATTTGTAACTCAGAGGCCAATAGCTTAGCCTTTTCTTGAATTATTGAACCACTAATAGGAATATTCTTAAACCTGCTTTTTTCATAAAACGATTTCACTCCCTCTTTTTTCAAAATCAGTTATACGTATTTTTCTTTTGCGTTCCATATCGGGGTTGTTTTCTAATTCTTTTATAATATGTTCTTTTTTTTAAGACCAGCTATAGTTGATAGATATGCTTTTATTAGCCGGTTCATTCAATATCTCACTTTTAATTTTCAGAGATAACTCTACTGGATGTTTTCTTTTTGACATGATTGTAATAACTGATCACGCTTAATTGTGTCATAGCTAATCCATGAAATTTGATGCATACATATTTTCGTAAAAATAACGGTATTGCAACGTTTGAAAAGTTCCATTGATATTGAAATACATATACTTTCATTTGTGTGTAACATATGCATACAAACATGCAGACATATTAAATGTATTGTTCAAGATAAAAAGGGATTTTAATGCTTCCTGTTTAAAAATTGAGACAAATTTTGTCCAATTTCCAAGATAGACAGTATCCAAATTATGCAGTGAATATACATATGTATGTATATTTTCTACTATATTAATTTGGTACAGAACATTTAGTCCAATTTGACCGAGTGTCGAAGTTATAACAGGTTTATTGTATTACATTTTATTCAATATTTAAATTATTCGGATAGATAAATTGCCTCAAATATAATAAAATCTATCCTATAAAATCTTTTTACAGATTCGAATGGAACTTTCTCTCCGGGGTTTCTGGAATAGTTCGGTATTATACAACATTTCCTCATTGCAAGAAATGTATCCCCTGGTAAGTATAATATATGTATATACAGCAGGATAATATCAGGAATAAAATGAATTCTCTCTTTCGGACTAATAGTCTTGTGTTCAAGTCTATTATTGGTCAGCATGCCATAATATTTCTGAGAAATCCCGGTCACTTAATTTAATTCTTTAATTTTATACTCGCACATATGTATACTCCATAAAGTCAGCTAAAATAAGGAATAGGTAAGGACCCAACTTTATTTTAAACTCATTCAAAAACAAGAAAAAACGGTAACTTCGGTTGCACCGAAGCTATATTACCCTTCACAAATACTAAAGATTCCTAACAAAACTTGATTTTGATCGGTCAGTTACAGAGAAACTCCCCTGCGTTGGATTTGTCAAAAGCTTTCGAAAGAGATAAAAACGCTAAATCGGAGCTCTCACAACCACTAGAAGGAGTTTCTATTACCTCATATGCAAACCATTTTACGATAAGGACGTCGGGCAATGGAACTGATAACATGTGTTCAAAAGTGAACGCATATCTCCTAGAAATTTATCGCTTCTTTACTGCAAAAATCCTTAAATTCTCCCCTGTAAACTCCGCGCCCACCCTCTTTACAAACTTTACCCCAACTTTCGACGTTTCCGTCATTAATGTTAAAATTTCGACGATATATAACCTTAAAAATTTAGGTGTTACAATCGATAGTCTGCAATCCTTTACTGTGCAGACAACCGCGATTGTTACAAAAGACAGAGCCGCAACAAAATTTTCAAATCGCTAGCCGGCAGCACTTGGAGTAAGGACAAAGAGACGTTGTTGGCAACATACAAGGAAATCGGCCAGCCAGCCATTAACTACGCAGCCCCATATGGTCGCCTGATGGCTAGATGGCCGGCCGACTAAAACAGGATACCTTCGATTCGTAGCCGCTTCCGCTCGGTTGTTTTCGCAGAAACTATCCCTGCAGACACCTGGTTGAAGCGGATCTCTCTCCCAGGAGCATCATACCGACCAAGTTCCGACGGGAAATGAGTCCCCGCATGACACTAATCACCTCTTTGAATGTCCAATGAAACCAAAACTCTTTACTCCCTTCTTCCTATGATCCGAACCCGTCGAAACAGCCCGTTTCCTGGGTCTACCGCTGTGTGATTCCGATAAAAGTTAACTTATTGATTTTCCCCAAGCAGGGTCTTGATAATCGTTACAACAACAACAAGCTTTCCCCATCATTATCTTGTTGGATGGAGTTTCGAATTTTTCTTACTATGCTGTCAAATATCACAGGTGGCAACACTTCAAGCTCTTAAGCTGTAATTTTTTGGCTGTGTACTTTTGTGTTTTTATTTTAAAAAATTCTTCAAGTTTAATTGATTTTTTTACCGTGTTAATACAATTTTTAGTGATTTAACTCTGAGTTTCATGATAAGTATTAAATGTTCTTAAGTTTTGTGCAGTATTAAAAAGTTTAAACTTTCGAATTTTTGGTGCCGAGTCAGCTTTTTGTTTCATTTTGTTTTATTTTATTCTATTTTCTCTCTTTATTTATCTCATTTACTTCTTTATTCACAGCTGTGTTGCGTTTAGCTTTTTATTTGTTACAGTGCTTCTAAAATGCTCGCTATATTGCTTTTTTAAACTGTCTTGGTTTTAAACTTTGATAAAAAAAAATTGCTATTATTTTTGCGTTTGTTCTTAATTGAATTTATTATTATTAATATTTTATTAACACACTAATTTATTATATACCTATTAAATTTTGTTCTACTTACTCTTTTATTTGATCTTCATTCTTGTTTAAAAAAAGCAATATAGGAGCATTTAGAAGCACTGTAACAAATAAAAGCTAAACGCAACACAGCTGTGAATAAAGAAGTAAATGAGATAAATAAGAGAGAAAATAGAATAAATAAAACAAAATGAAACAAAAAGCTGACTCGGCACACAAATCGAAAGTTTAAACTTTTAATACTGCACAAAACTTAAGAACATTTAATACTTATCATGAAACTCAGAGTTAAATCACTAAAAATTGTATTAACACGTAAAAAAATCAATTAAACTTGAAGAATTTTAAAATAAAAACACAAAGTACAAGCCAAAAAATACAGCTAAGACTTGAAGTGTTGCCACCTGTGATATTTAACAGCATAGTAAAAATTCGAAACTCCATCCAACAAGATAATGATGGGAACTTGTTTGTGTTTGTAACGATTATCAAGACCCTGCTGGGGAAAATCAATAAGTTAACTTTATCGGAATCACACAGCGGTAGACCCAGAAACGGCTGTTTCGACGGGTTCGGATCATAGGAAGAAGGAGTAAAGAGTTTTTGGTTTCATTGGACATTCAAAGAGGATAGTGTCATGCGGGGACTCATTCCCGTCGGAACTTGGTCGGTATGATGCTCCTGGGAGAGAGATCCGCTTCAACCAGGTGTCTGCAGGGATAGTTTCTGCGAAAACAACCGCGGAAGCGCTACGAATCGAAGGTATCCTTTTTAGTCGGCCGGCCATCTGGCCATCAGGCGACCATATGGGGCTGCGTAGTTAATGGCTGGCTGGCCGATTTCCTTGTATGTTGCCAACAACGTCTCTTTGTCCTTACTCCAAGTGCTGCCGCCAGCGATTTGAAAATTTGTTGCGGCTCTGTCTTTGTAACAATCGCGGTTGTCTGCACAGTAAAGGATTGCACTATCGATTGTAACACCTAAATTTTAAGGTTATATATCGTCGAAATTTAACATTAATGACGGAAACGTCGAAAGTTGGGGATAAGTTTGTAAAGAGGGTGGGCGCGGAGTTTACAGGAGAATTTAAGGATTTGCAGTAAAAAGCGATAAATTTCTAGGAGAAT